AAGGAAAATTTATCAACTAATATTGTAGCATTAATCAAACATCAAATCGACACATTTTATACTCAGACTACTTACATTCATTTTAATGGGGAAAACAAACTACTCTTAAAACTTACAGGCCGGCGCCGCAGCTCACTAGGCTAATCCTCCACCTAGCGGCGCTGGCACACCGGGTTCTAGTCCCGGTCGGGGCGCCAGATTCTGTCCCGGTTGCCCCTCTTCCAGTCTAGCTCTCTGCTGTGGCCCGGGAGTGCAGTGGAGGATGGCCCTGCACCCCATGGGAGACCAGGATAAGCACCTGGCTCCTGCCATTGGATCAGTGTGGTGCACCGGCTGCAGCATGCTGGCTGCGGCGGCCATTGGAGGGTGAACCAACGGCAAAGGAAGACCTTTCTCTCTGTCTCTCTCTGTCCACTCTGCCTGTCAAAAAAAAAAAAAACCAAAAAGAAAAAAAAAAAAACACAAAAAACAAAAAAACAAAAACAAAAAAAAACAACCCTTACAATACTACACAGATATATCTCGCCTGTACAATGCAAAATGTACTTTATATATAAAATATATTCAGATCTTGAGGTTTTTTTAGTCATTAATATGCTAAACTTGGTCTTAAAATAAAAATGGGACATATATTACAATATGGCATGTTATATACCTTAAAATGATTTAAAGTAAGGAAAATTAAATCATGAAAATAACACAAATAGCATGGACATTTAACAATGTCAGGGAATTCATTCATTTTTCAGTGGGCTAGCACCCATAAAGTACCCTTAAGAAGGCTACAACCCTTTATCCAGAACACAGTTTCAGAAAATGTCTCCCAACAGGAAACTGCTGCCTGCTTTCTCCTTGCGTCTGAGCCCACACTCCGCCCACGTGATGCGGTGCCAGCCTCCTCCGGAGGATGGGCAACCGCATCATCACAGGATGCAACTGAGCCTTGGAACTAGTAATTTTTCTTTATACTGTTTGAAATTAAAAACATATTAAATTGATCCATTATGAAAATTCTGCTCTCTAAATTGCACATTTCAGACCATGTCTGTATCTTAAGGCGATGAAACAATTTTTGTAACAAAACAAATTATTGACTTTAACTTAAGGAAATTGATGCTTGAATGACTAAATATTCAATGAAAACAAATCTCTCAATTATAACACGCAGAACTTGCTCATTTTCACAGGTTAATGAACTTTATGTTTTCCATTTCTAATCTCTGTGTATTTATTTTGTGGGGGTGGAAAAGTGTCCACGACACACACAATTCTGCAATCACGTGACTCCGTGCCGCACAGCACGAGCCGGCATGACGAGCGCAGCGAAGAAACACTGCACCACCAGAGTCAACAGGAATCTGCCTGTGCGCTTCAGAATTAGAAACTCGAGTTCTAGGCCAAACTTCTCAATCTTTTCACTGTGAGGCTGTTTACCTTGAAACATTAATTAAAAAAAATCTAGTATCAGCATAGCTAAAATAAGTCATTTTATTAAGTGTTTACTCTAGGGGCCAGCACTGTGGTGTGGTGGGCTAAAGCCTTGGCCAGCAGTGTTGGCAACCCATAGGGACACCAGTTCGAGTCCCAGCTGCTCCACTTCCAATCCAGCTCTCTGCTATAGCCTGGGAAAGCAGTGGAAGTTGGCCTAACTGCTTGGGCCCTGCACTCATATGGGAGACCCAGAAGCAGCTCCTGGCTCCTGGCTTCAGATCGGCCCAGATCCGCCCATCGCAGCCATTTGGAGAATGAACCAGCAGATGGAAGACCTTTCTCTCTGTCTCTCCCTCTTTCTAACTATATCTCAAATAAATAATTTAAAAATCTTAAAAAAAAGAGTTTATGAAAAACACTGAGGTAATTCACAGGATGAATTCCCTCTTGACTATAAATATCTTCAGGACAGATCTGTCTCTGATGCAGACAAGGACAGATAGCACAGATGTTGCCACTTAGAAAGGGGATAGGAAAAGCTTTCAGTAAGCTCCTTGCTAGGAACCCGCGGTCTGGAGGCTGTGGTAGACCAGGGATGGAGTCCACAGTTACAATCTCCCAGCGCCTGCATGCAGCCAGGGTTTCTCTGGAAAGCAAAGGGTCTCTGATGGTGAATCATGGATCCAAACCTTCCAGGGGAGGGTAGCCTGTGAGACTGGCAGACACCTGCCAAACACAGGGTAAAATAATACTGCTCATCAAGCAATTGTATTAGAACACAAGGTGAGAATGCTATACACATTGATGCTTTAAGTCAATTGAGGACAAATAATATTCCACACCTTCTGAAAGGTTATCTTCAGAGCTGAGGATTCCAGCAGCTCGAATATGTCCTCCTTTGATTCACTCAATGGTGAATTTATTCGTTCAGCCAATCAGCAGTTACTGAACACCCAACATGTTTGCCTGAACATACTGCAAGGTCTGTTAAAGCATACCAAGTGAACAAAGAAGTGGTTTAGCTCTCAAGAAGTGAAGCAGAGACAACACTGCTAGAACAGGTGTAAGAACACTCCTTCCGAAACACAGCTCCCCTGCACGTGCCGTGGCAGGAAGGTCCAGGGAGTGCTGAGAAGGCACAGCCCCAGGTGGGTGCCGGAGCCCGCACAAATGGACGAAGGAGGAACGGCAAGTGGGGGTCTGGGGAAGGATGCTGGAGCCCAGACAGAGAAAGGAGAGACACCCGCTAGTCCCAGAGAAGGGAGTGCTCCTAGGGAGAGACACCTGCTAGTCCCAGAGAAGGGGGTGCTCCTAGAGAGAGACACCCGCTAGTCCCAGAGAAGGGGGTGCTCCTAGGGAGAGACACCTGCTAGTCCCAGAGAAGGGGGTGCTCCTAGGGAGAGAGCCCGCTAGTCCCGGAGAAGGGGGTGCTCCTAGGGAGAGAGCCCGCTAGTCCCGGAGAAGGGGTGCTCAGGTAACAACACGCTAGCCCACCAAGGACTGACACACGGTTCTCACTGTCAGGGAAAGGAGCTGCAACGTGGGAAGAGAACTACACAAAAGCACGTGAACCTGAATTGGAACTGAAGTGTCTGAACTCCTGGTGCTCAACATCACAATTAAAATAAGTACAGCTTTAAATCTCTGTATGCACATTCATCCATCCACCTGCTCACACACTCACCTATCCGCCCGGCCCACCCACCCATATCCCCACCCATAAACCTTGCCTGCCACTCACCCACACGCCCCACTGCCCGTGTGTCCATGTGTCCCATTGCATATGCACTGCGAGGGCAGGACGACCACACGCTCACATCAACGAGCATGCCCAGCTCCCAGAACCCCACTCCTGAATACCATTCTTGGCCAAAAGGAGCCCTGGGCTGATCCCAGGACAAGGGCAAAAAAGGACCAAATGAGCCTGACATATCTTTCTGGGGAAAGAGAGCACACACACAGAATGATGAGTACATAACAGCTCACAGAAAACCAGCTCAAAGGGGCTCCCAGAGGCCAACGAGGGAACAGCATGAGCATCAACTGAAGAAAGTAACCGACTTGAACCCCTGGACAGAGACGATGCAGGAGAGATGCCCAGAAAACAGCGGACGTCGGCTCAGCAGCGGGCACTCCCTGCCCTCTCTACACACTGCAGCGCTCACATCGCTCTGCAGAGCACTTCTAACTGTCACCTCCTCCACACACCATATCCACGTCTCCTGCTCCTCCTCTGGGCTGGCCTACACTCACTCTGTGTGAGGGGCCTGTGACACAGGACCAGGGAGCTAAAACCTCGCAGGAGCAGAGACGGACACCCAGCCATCCTGAGCTGACTCAGCTTGTCCCCCAGGGTTCACTGAGCACCACTCAGAACAGGAGTCCAGACTCAAGAACTGGGAGCACAGTGGGAGAGGCAGGAGGAAGACTCCCAAAGATAGGCAAGGGTCCTCACTGACCACACATGTCTCAGGCCAAGCAGAGCAAGCCGAGCAGCATGATGGATGCAGGACAGAGAGAGGGCCTGGTGGGGTGCAGGGAGGATACTGGGGCCCATGTAAGAGCAGCAGACGGGGCCGGCATTGTGGCACAGCAGGGAAAGCACTGTCTACGACAGTGGCATCCCACAAGGGTGCCGGTTCGAGTACCAGCTCTCTACCAATGGCCTGTGAAAAGCAGCAGAAGACAGCCCAAGTGCTAGGGTCCCTTCACCCACATAAGAACTGGATGAAGCTTCTAGCCCTTGTGGCCATCTGGGAAGTGAACCAGTGAATGGAAGATCTCTGTCTTTGCCTCTAACGCTTTCAAAATGAATCTCTCTCTCTCTCTCTCTCTCTCTCTCTATATATATATATATATATTTTTTTTTTTTTTTTTAAAAGAGCAGCACAGTTCCTTCGACCAGTGTCTGTACCAATTGCACACTGCATAAGCAAGACTCTGTGTGGCTGGGTGTGGTGGGATCTGGGAGAGCAGCTGCTGAGCTATCTGGTGGAGAGTCGGGGGCAGCCTGAATCTACAACTTGACCCTTGACAGAAGCAGAAGAAAAGGACGCGGGTGAATGGGAGACCTGGGAGGATTTCTGTTGCCACCACAGGAAACACTGGTTACCATGATGGACTGAAGGTAGCGGGCCAGAGTGTGTGACGCTCAGGCACAGAGTTCTGGTGGTGACAACACCCAGGAAGGGGTCTCATGGGGCTCAGGGCTGGGTAGGAGCAATGAAGGGACACAGATTATTGCATTTTGTTCCACATTTCAAGGCTGGTAGGAGGGAGGAAGGAGCTAGCAGCCCCCAGCACGGGGTGGGGCAGCTCACTGCAGTGACATCGTGGAGAGATCTTCTCCTGGGTGTGAGGTGTGGTGGGAGGACAGACACACACCAGCCTGCTCTCCTGGTGTGAGGTGTGGTGGGGGCAGACACACATCAGCCTGCTCTCCTGGGTGTGAGGTGTGGTGGGAGGACAGACACACACCAGCCTGCTCTCCTGGGTGTGAGGTGTGGTGGGGACAGACACACACCAGCCTGCTCTCCTGGTATGAGGTGTGGTCAGGGAGACACACACCAGCCTGCTCTCCTGGTGTGAGGTGTGGTGGGGGCAGACACACACCAGCCTGCTCTCCTGGGTGTGAGGTGTGGTGGGAGGACAGACACACACCAGCCTGCTCTCCTGGGTGTGAGGTGTGGTGGGGACAGACACACACCAGCCTGCTCTCCTGGTGTGAGGTGTGGTGGGAGGACAGACACACACCAGCCTGCTCTCCTGGTGTGAGGTGTGGTGGGAGGACAGACACACACCAGCCTGCTCTCCTGGGTGTGAGGTGTGGTGGGGACAGACACACACCAGCCTGCTCTCCTGGTGTGAGGTGTGGTGGGGGCAGACACACACCAGCCTGCTCTCCTGGTGTGAGGTGTGGTGGGAGGACAGACACACACCAGCCTGCTCTCCTGGTGTGAGGTGTGGTGGGAGGACAGACACACACCAGCCTGCTCTCCTGGTGTGAGGTGTGGTGGGGGCAGACACACACCAGCCTGCTCTCCTGGGTGTGAGGTGTGGTGGGAGGACAGACACACACCAGCCTGCTCTCCTGGGTGTGAGGTGTGGTGGGGACAGACACACACCAGCCTGCTCTCCTGGTGTGAGGTGTGGTGGGGGCAGACACACACCAGCCTGCTCTCCTGGTGTGAGGTGTGGTGGGGGCAGACACACACCAGCCTGCTCTCCTGGTGTGAGGTGTGGTGGGAGGACAGACACACACCAGCCTGCTCTCCTGGTGTGAGGTGTAGTGGGAGGACAGACACACACCAGCCTGCTCTCCTGGTGTGAGGTGTGGTGGGAGGACAGACACACACCAGCCTGCTCTCCTGGTGTGAGGTGTGGTGGGGACAGACACACACCAGCCTGCTCTCCTGGTGTGAGGTGTGGTGGGGACAGACACACACCAGCCTGCTCTCCTGGTGTGAGGTGTGGTGGGGACAGACACACACCAGCCTGCTCTCCTGGTGTGAGGTGTGGTGGGAGGACAGACACACACCAGCCTGCTCTCCTGGTGTGAGGTGTGGTGGGGACAGACACACACCAGCCTGCTCTCCTGGTGTGAGGTGTGTGGGGAGGACAGACACACACCAGCCTGCTCTCCTGGTGTGAGGTGTGGTGGGAGGACAGACACACACCAGCCTGCTCTCCTGGTGTGAGGTGTGGTGGGAGGACAGACACACACCAGCCTGCTCTCCTGGGTGTGAGGTGTGGTGGGGACAGACACACACCAGCCTGCTCTCCTGGGTGTGAGGTGTGGTGGGGGACAGACACACACCAGCCTGCTCTCCTGGTGTGAGGTGTGGTGGGAGGACAGACACACACCAGCCTGCTCTCCTGGTGTGAGGTGTGGTGGGAGGACAGACACACACCAGCCTGCTCTCCTGGGTGTGAGGTGTGGTGGGAGGACAGACACACACCAGCCTGCTCTCCTGGTGTGAGGTGTGGTGGGAGGACAGACACACACCAGCCTGCTCTCCTGGTGTGAGGTGTGGTGGGAGGACAGACACACACCAGCCTGCTCTCCTGGTGTGAGGTGTGGTGGGAGGACAGACACACACCAGCCTGCTCTCCTGGTGTGAGGTGTGGTGGGGGCAGACACACACCAGCCTGCTCTCCTGGGTGTGAGGTGTGGTGGGAGGACAGACACACACCAGCCTGCTCTCCTGGGTGTGAGGTGTGGTGGGAGGACAGACACACACCAGCCTGCTCTCCTGGGTGTGAGGTGTGGTGGGGACAGACACACACCAGCCTGCTCTCCTGGTGTGAGGTGTGGTGGGGACGGATGGGAATGAGGAGTTCCAAGTCAACAGGTACCAGGTATGTGGGGCATTTTCGAGATGCACGCATTTAGAAAGAGGTAAGCTGGCATGTAAATTTACCTAAGTTTTTAACATTCTACCTCTCACCAAAGAAACCATTACCAAAAAGGAGTGAAAAGACATATTTGCATTGTCAAAGTTCTATAAACAACAATAAAAAAAGTTATATGAACAAGTATCTGTGTATCTATATACCTAAATCATTTTAAATTCTTCAAGTGTTAGGGGGAAAACTTTTTATACAAATTTGTTAGCTTTCTTTTAAAGTTTTATTCATCTATTCAAAAGACAAAAGAGATATCTTCCATCTGCTGGCTCATTCCCCAAATACCTCCAACAGTCAGCTTTGGACTAGGCTGAAGCCAGGAGCCAGGCAGACTCCCAGGTCTCCCACACGCACGGCAGGAACCAAAGCACTCGGGCCATCACTCACTGCCACCCCAGGTGCACCAGCGGGCATCCAGACGAGAAGCGGAGCGGCCAGGACTCCAGCTGGCCCTCCCATACGGCATGCCAGTGTGCGGACTTACCTCACTGAATGACAATGCCAACCCCAGCGCCATTAACTTGTACTTTATTTCTTTTTTAAAGATCTATTTATTTCAAAGGCTGAGTGACAGAGAAAGACATAAGAAAAAAATCTTCCATCTGCTGGTTCGCTCTCCACATTGCCACCAACTGACAGGGCTGGGCCAGGACAAAGACAAGAGCCAGGAACGCCATCTTGGTCCCCCACAGAGGTGACAGGGGTCATGCACTTTGGCCACCGTCTGCTGCCTTCCTACGAGCATTAGTAGGGAGCTGGATGGGAAGTGGATCAGTCAGAACTCAAGCCAGATATGGGATGTGACCATGATGCCCACCCGTTATTAACTGTTAATGTCACTTGTTTCAAAATTATGGTTTTTTCTGTACTATATTAGCTTCAAAAAATAAGAACTAAAAAAGAATATTCCCAAACTGTCTGTAACAGCACTTCAGAAACCAGAGCCGATTCACACAAGTGCCTTGGTCACCCCACTGTGCAGACCTCACTCTCACCAGCACTCAGGCCTCGTCCAGGAGTAGGAAACAGCTCGGCGAGTCTTCACTGAGGGTCGTCACCTGCCAGCATTCTGATAAGCACTCTCGACCTCTGCCTCATCAACCAAACAGGCCACTGGCTCCAGCCTGCTGACCCAACCAGCCCACCCCCGGTAAGACACCTGACACTACCACTCAGCTACACTGCCTCCCTGGGTAGGCTGCAGCTGTCAAGAACCAGCGACACCTGCAGCAGTTCTGCAGCACCTGCCGTCCTGAATTCCTCACACTCACCTGCAGCACCACCGTGGCCCAGCTGCAGCAGGCGCCTGACGGCAGAGGCTCAGGACCAGACAGCTGCGCAGTGGGCGGGGCCAGACTTGGGGCTTTCCATGATGCCAACACACATGAAGGTTTCAAGGATATTAAGCAGTTGATATTTCAACTAACACTCGCCAACACTTTTGGGACTGGGAGGGTCTGTGCCCTGGAGGAGGCACTGGTGGGCCCCCACTCACATGCCCTGTGTTCTTTAACCTTCTCTGTTGCCTTCTGAAAATCTTAGAAAAAAATATACCAGCCAGACCATCAACTCCAACTTACACTGCAGTTCTAACAGAGGAATGTCTAACCCTTGATAGTTTTTGTGTTCTAATTTGTTCAAACAGCAGAGTTCCAAGAATTTCATTCTAACATACATGCCTCAAAAACGTCATTTCAATTTGATGAGGGTGTTCAGCAGTTTAAACACAGACCTCTCAGAAACATTTCGGGTGCAGCACTGGCCCTTAACATCTCACTACAGGGGAAACCCAGACCCCAGGATCTGCTTCACAGTTTTACAACAAGTAATTATTAGCTATCAACAACGCTGACTGCACAGAACAACTGATTTAACTCATGCCAAGTTTATCATACACGTTTTAATTTGGTATAGTTGCTACTCAAATGTCAAAAAAAATCAAAGTAAACAAAACTCTAGAATCTAGAATCTACTTTCAGATATATGAATGAGTAAGCGGAAACCAGATGCAAGATTTGTTTTTGAGGAATATTTTAAAAATATATTGCAGTGCCAGGACCACGTTGCCTGCTCCTGTGTGCTCCCCTCAGTCCTGAGTTCCTCGTGCACCTCTCCCCGCAGGCTGCACACAACCATGACAGGGGCGCAGGGGGCAGCACGTGCCATCCTGCTCCACAGACCTTGCAGGGCCGTAAGGGAACCACAGGGCCTTCTTCCCCACCCACAGCGCACAAGGCGGCTGGTACCGCGAGACCACCAGGACCCATCTGCACAACCATGTGGCGCATCTCTGATGGGGGTCCTTCCAAGGTTGCTGGCCCTGACCCTGACCCTAATGCTCCCGGGCAGGGCACCGACTCAGGACTGAAAAGTGACAGCGAAGCTCACAGCCTCCCTCTCTATCCTCACTTTGCCCAAAGGAGCCTGGCTTTCCTGTTCACCGGGGTTCTCAGTGTTTCAGAAACACTGCCCGATGACTGAGGAAGATGTCAGGATACGTAAGCCATTAGCACAGGCACAAAGCTCCATAAATCTTTAAGTGTTTATGGTCTTAGGGTAAGGGATCATGGAGTCCAAAAAGTAGTTATCAAAACACTCACCTGCGCTGACCGTTGTGGCCATTTGGGGAGTGAACCAACAGAAGGAAGAGCTTGCTCTCTCTGTCTCTGTCTCTCTCTCACTGTCTAACTCTATCCGTCAAATACAAAAAAAAAAAAAAAAAAAAAAAAAAAACCTCACCTGCTTATTGAATGTATCATACTTTTTGTTAAGAATTTTGATTATACAGAGCTTAGCTGCAGTGCTTAGAAGTGAGGAACAATGTCAAATATAATTATTTAACATGCAACAAATTATTAGTAAGCTCTTCTTATTTAGGACTTTATGTAAAACTAAGTCTTATTGGGGCTGGCACTGTGGTGTAGCAGGTTAAAGCCCTGGCGTGCAGTGCTGACATCCCATATGGGCACCGGTTCGAGTCCTGGTGGCTCCACTTCTGATCCAGCTCTCTGCTATGGCCTGGGAAAGCAGTGGAAGATGTCCCAAGTGCTAGGGGTCCTGCACCCACATGGGAGACCCGGAAGAAGCTCCTGGCTCCTGGCTTTGGATCAGCGTACTCCGGCCATCGTGGCCATCTGGGGAGTGAACCAGCAGATGGAGGACCTCTCTGTCTCTACCTCTCTCTGTAACTTTTTCAAATAAAGAAAATAAATCTTAAAAAAAAAAGTCTTACTAGTGATACAAAGTTCTTACAGTAAACCATAAATATGCTTGTGCTTCCAACTGAGAATTCCTGCTTTTTAAACAAATTCATATTTAAAAGGCTTTTCCAGACAGAATTCCCAGTTTTCTAGTCCAGATACCTGCTGTATATGGATAGAGCATTATGGCCCAGATGCTATCATCAGGCTTGCTTTCTCAACATTTACCATTTTGCTTCTTTACTGCTTCCTTGAAATTACAAGTTTATTTATGCTCGCACTGCCGATGAAGACATACAGCCTTGAATTGTGAGCAGCTACAATAGCAAAGTGGGCTGGCTAGCAAGTGGGGGGTGAGGCTCGCGTCCCCACTGCCGAGGCCACGCACGCAGGCTGGCCCTCCTCTCGTCTTACACCATCGTCTGTCCAGTCATGGCAGCTGCCTAAAAAGGCATCCCAGGAGTATTTTTAACTCTGTGGATTGACTGTAACACTATATTCTACAGCACATAGCTCTGTGGAAAGCCTACGAGCCCATCTTTAAACAAGTATTTAAACCCAAAATATTTTTATTATTCAAGAAGTCAACTGTTAGAGAAATTTCATGGGTGTGCAATCATAAGAGGAAAGTATTTAGTTCTTCTATTGTAATATTTTAATACCAACCATCAGAACTTTTAAAATATTAATAAACTGTCCCTTTTATAAATAAGAAAGCTATTCTCCAAAACTGCCTTGATATTTCAACTTGCAAAGAACACTAGAGTGGATTCTATTTTGTTCTATTATCTGGAAATGCCTCTGCAACAATTCAGACGACGACAAGTGGCTCTAATTCACGTAATGGCACCTGTCACCTGTCTCCCTGTCAATGAGACATTTGAAAGCACACAAATCAATACACCCAAGGGATCACAATAACCACTGGGAGCAGTCTGCATTATCATCCTATCCTTGATGTTCTGGTGCTAAGCAGCTTATTATTATGAATGGCGTGAAAATGGCAACCTGTCATGATTGATTTTTCTTAACCTGCAAGAAATTTTTCCCTCTTAAATGTAATCAAGTATCATCTTATTCAATATGTCTCAGGCTAGGTTTTATAAAGCAGTCCATTACTCAAGTTGTAGTCCTTGTCATTTAAACTTTCGCCAAATATTATTATAAAAGTAACTGCTGAGAAATTAGAACTTTTGGTCAGTTTTAAAACACAAACTTCAATCTAGGAGTAGAGCTTATCTCCTTTTAGATCCACCCTCAGCAAGCACTGTCAGGAGGAATACTCTTCATCTGGCTTTAGAATTTGTTTACTGGGACTGGCACTGCGGTGCAGGCTAAGACTCAGCCTGGGCACCGCCATCCCACATGGGCACTGGTTCATGTCCCGGCTGCTTCTCTTCTGATCCAGCTCTCTGCTAATGGCCTAGGAAAGCAGTGGAGGATGGCCCAAGAGCTTGGGCCTCTGCATCCATGTGGGGGGCCTGGAAAAAGCTCCTGGCTCCTGATTTTGGATCAGTCCAGCTCTAGCCATTGTGGCCATCTGGGAACTGAACCAGCAGGTGCAAGACCTTTCTTTTTTGCCCTTTTTTTTTTTTAAAGATTTATGTATTTATTTGAAAGTCAGAGTTACAAGGAGAAGAGAGGCAGAGAGAGAGGTCAGTCTTCCATCCACTGATTCACTCCCCAATTGGCCACAATTCCC